GCATCCCGCCATAGCCCTCCCAGAGCCGCACGCAGCAGTTGCGGGGCCGCACCCCACCTGCGCCATGTACGAGTAAAAGTATGAGAAGGGCCCCAGCCCCCGCGCCCTGTTGCGGGCGTCGCTGTAGATCGGGTCGAAGCGCTTGTGGTACTCAACCGCCAGCTGCGAGAGCAGGATGTGGGGCGTGTGCGCGAATGGGATGAGATTGTTGAGTAAAGGCAGTTCCTGAATGCTTGAGAGGTAGCGCCTTGCCCACATGTGTGCGTGTGCAAAGCGTCAGCGAACCTCCGGACGCGCCTGTCATTGGCCCCCCAGTCGAGGGGAAATATTCGAGCCGCTGCAGGCAGCCGTGGATGCTGCTGCCATGCCCAGCAACCTCTTCTCGCGCCCCTGCCGCTGCCGGCCAGCCCTGCGCTGCTCCTCCCGCCGCTCCCGCCACCCCTGTCCCCCTTGACCGCCACCCACCATGACGCCCGCCGCCTCCGCCTCCTCCACCAGCTGCCTGTGGTGCTCCAGGGTCCGCACCAGCGGCTTGGCCACGAGCGTGTGCAGCCCCGCGCGGACGCAGGCGGACGCGATGGCGAAGTGGGTGTCGTCTGGGGTGAAGATGATGGCGGCGTCACCGGGTGACATGGTGGCCAGCGCCTGGGTTTGGACGGCGTCCGTGCCAAGGTCGAGGGGGTAAGACAGTGAGTTCTGCTACCGCACGAGTGGTGTTGGTGCACGCCTTCAGCGGCCCCCTTCCGGCGCGAGGCATGCTGGCGCCTGCTAGGGCGCCTCCTACATCGCCCCCGCCTGCGCCGCCCGCCTTGCGGCGAGGGGCCGCCTTGCCGCAAGCGCCCCGTCGCATGCTGGCGCCAAGATTGGGGGCGCCGCGGCGGTCTGTGTGCTGCTCGCCTGCTGGAACGCGTTGGGGTCGTCGGGGACGTCGTCTGCCGGGAAGCACTCGATTGTGAGGTCGAGCCCTTTGTACGCCTTGCCAATCTTCGCATCCATGGTGGCGCGCACGGCCGGCATGCGCGTGCCGCAGCGGTCCGACAGCACCATGCGGCCCACCTGCATGCGCACGCACGCAGGCGCGATCGCGGCAACGAGGATTTGGATGTGGGGGTTTATGCATTGCATGCACCAGGGTGCAGGGGTGGCGCTCTGGTGTAGGACACAAGGAGTTGAAGCGGTTGAGAGCAGTGTGGGCGGCTGCACGCGCTTGGCCTGGCCACAGGCGCGACGCACCAGTCCAGAGCGCCGCAGATCGAAGCATGTCAGCGCAACTACACCCGCAGGCTTGTCGGCAGCTGCTCCATGCGCTGTCTGAACGAACCTGCAGCCGAGATGCGAGGTCAGGATCATCAAGATCGCTCAGGGGCCTCGATTCAGCCCCTCACAGGGGCTCAATACAAAATTTATCGCATCAAACACTTACCCCGCGGTGTACTCCCCCGCACCAACCATTAGCACGTCCACTGGGCGCCGCGCCATATTTAATGCAGCCTTCTAAGCAGCTGGATTGATGGTGAGTGATATCACGCTAGATATGCGCGAACCAAGTTGGGCGCGGCCTGAAGATATCTCGTGGTGGTTGAGCCATGGGGTGACCCAAGTGACTGTTGCTCAGTTGCTTGTGTTGAGCACGCTGTGTTCAAGAGGTCCACTGCATGGTACGCGACCTTGAGTGGAAGTTGCAGGGCTGCAGTGCAATCGTTATGAGTGAGCTACGGCCCTCCCGCGTCAAAAATGACACGCTCCAGTGCGACCGCAAGGCTGATGCACTGCTCAACTGCGCCAATCACAGGTCATGGGTGTAGTAGTGACGATACGCGAGCAGAGCTGCCTGCAAGCATTTACTGGTGTGTGTTTTCGAATTGCACTGATGGAGCATGGATTTGGTCCAACCTGACCCGGGTAGAGGGTGGCGTTTGGGTCAGGTGCGCGAGGTGGAGGGTGGCGTGGGTGCCCGGTGAGGCGCAATGCATACACGTGCACTGAATAGCCTGCTTGTGAGTGAACTGTTCGGCACGCTCAGGCTATTGCATGGCTCTGCTGACAGGCCGCCATTTGAGGAGTGCCAGTGCCATGTGTGTGCGGCGTGGTGGCAACAGGGGTTGCTGCATCGCGCGATTCTCTTCTCAACAGGCATATGTGTGTGGGCGGGCAACAGCACACCAGAGGGCAGCATGCACCGTGTCGCTGCTCGCGCTGTGAGGAGTGCTCTGCTCATCTGCTGCGTGACGCACTTCGAGCCCAATCGGGCGTGCAGTGCACGCACACTCAAAGCCCGCATGCGCTGGACAGGTTTACGGCCGTAATTCAGCTCTATTCTCATTCATCCCCTCTCTGTGTTGAACCGTTCTAGTCACTCGATGCATGTCATAGTGTTTGTCAATTACTAACCGTGGCCCACTAGTCTTGACTCTGGATCCGCGGCACGCACACCCATCAGAGAGAAAATTTACCGATTATGATGACGATCTCCGACAACCGTCGGGTCCCTGGGATTTGATGTGAGCGAGAAGCACTCACAACTCGCAATTGGCGTGCAGTGCAGGATGGAGCCGTACCAAAGAATAAGCCGAGTCTAGTTGCAGAACTGTGGGAGCCGGAGCCCTCGAGCGGCACCACAACGGGCGCGTGGCATCGGCGCAGCACTGGGCGGGCTGGCCAACCGGGTGTCTTGCCCCAGGCAGCGCAGTGCCAGGGCAAACCTGTGCTAGAGCCAGCGGCGGCTCACCACCGCCAAGCAGGCAGTACGCCACCAAGGAGAGGCTGGCGCAGGCGATGGCGGACGGCCGGCGGGCCGCCACATGGCCGCAGCCAGGCGCAGCGGGCGCCGCGGCGGCGGAGGCGGCGTGCGCCGAGTGCAAGGGTTTTTCTGAGGTGGCGCCCGGCATGGGCAGCATGACTGAGATGGAGGTGGGCAGGGGCCCCTTGCAACTCAAGGGATCCACTTCATGTGAGGGACGAACGGGAGGGTCGCATCGTGGAGTCCGCGTGGGCTAAGACAATGTGACGCCGCGAGGGCGGCCTGCACAGCCGCAGGCGGGCGCGGGGGCACAGCAGCGGCACGGCGCAGAGTGGGAGTTGGGACGGCGTGGGACTGGGGTTGCGGCCGGGGAGGCGGCGTGTGTGGGGGGAGGGGGCGCCCACTATCCACCAGGGCAGGGGCGCCGGCGGCACGACATCTCGTGCCCCCCGCCCCCTTTTACAAGGACACCCCGACCCCCCCAACCACAGGTGGATGACATCATCTCTGACATGTTCATGTTTCGGGATGTCAGCCAGGCGGCCGCCGGCCGCGCGGCCCTGTTCCCCCGCACCCGCGGCGCGACGCCCGCGGCGCTACGGCCGCTGCTGCTGCGCCGCGGCGCCGCCCCCAGCCCTCAGCGCCCCGCCGCGGCCGCGGCGGCGGCGCCGGACGCCGCGGCGGCCCCGGCCGCCGCAGGGGTCCCTGTCAGCAGCCAGCCGCCCGCGGCCGCGCCGGCGCCCGAAGGCCTCAGTTCCGGCCGCGGCGGCGGGCGTGGGCGCGGGCGGGCGGCGGTCAAGGCGGTCAAGCCGGTCAAGCCGGTCAAGCCGGTCTACTCCAGATCATACGAGGCGGTGCGCCGCTACCGCGCCCGCAAGAAGCGCGCGGACGAGCTCGGCATTCCGCTCTGCGAGCTGCCTTTTGAACCGGGAGAGGCGCCGCCCCGGGGCCGCCCGCCCAAGGCGACCTCAGTCAAGGCGCCGGACGCCCCGCCGCTGCAGCCGCCGCCGGGCCCGCAGCTGCCGGCGGCGGGGCCTCGGCGGCGGCACGGGGATGACGCCCGTGCGGGCGCCGGCGGCGTGGAGGCTCTGGTGAGGGAAGTTGCCGAGAAGCTGGAGGAGGTGAAGCTGCTCACTCGGGAAAATCGGGTATTGCAGGTGGGTGGTCTGGCGGGGGGCGTCGATTGTAGGTGATGCACGCACTCCTCCTGACCGCCGATGGGCTGACTGGTTTTCAAACAGTGTTTGTGACAGCATTCGGGGCCTCTGGAGCGAGCAGGGCGCGCAGTGGTCGCAGTCAAACCGCCGTCAAACCGTTGGTTGTGCCGCTGGGGCTGGGCCAGCAACGCCTGGGACGGGAGTGGGTTTTGAAAGGGGCCAAAGAAGGGGTGCCGTAGCAGCCAGGGTATCATATTGAAACAGCCTCAAACCTGTGAGTGTGCACTGCTAGGCTCAGCCCCCATTTTCATGAGCGGTGCCTCATCGAGCGGTGCCCCGCCTTTGCATGCGCGGTGCTGACACGCGCGTCTGCGCTCACGGCGCGGCGCCGCCCCCAGGCGCGGGAGGCTGTGCTGCAGGCGGCGCTGGGCGGCCATGAGACGGACATCGCCGCCGCGGCCGCCGCGTGTACGCGGCAGGGCGCCTGCGGCGGCGCGGCGGCGGGCTGGCGGCCGGGGGAGCAGCAGGAGGAGCAGCAGCAGCGGCGGCAAGGGCAGGAGCAGGGGCCAGCGGAGGCTCAGGCTGTTGTTGGCATGATCGAGGCAGAGGTGCCGGCAGCGACGGCGCCAGGCAGCGGGGCCGATGTCGTGCAAGAAACAGAGCAGCGGCAGCAGGATAGACCGGGTGAGAGGCCAACACAGGCGGGGCAGGAGGAGGAGGGAGAGGCCGAGCAAAGTGTGCGGGCATGCCCGCGGCAGCAGCCGCAGGCTGACACAGAGGTGCGCAGGGCGCGCTTGGGGGCCGCGCTGCGCGCGAGGTCTTGACCCCCAAACGCACTCCCAACGCGCCCGCGCGGCGCGCCCGCGCCCGCGCCCTGCCGCCGTGGCTGGCGTATGCGGCCGCCAGTGCCTCCTCTCTGCACCCGCACTTGGCACCCAGCTGACACCGCCTGCTTCGGCGTCGAGCGAGGGCAACAAGCAAACGCTGCTTGTTGCCCCCCCCCACGGGCCCGTCCCTTGTGGCAGCAAGCAAGTGTGCGCGCACTCGTCCACACACACACACACGTACGCACGCACGCACACATTCCCTGACACGTACACCAGATCCACGCAGTTCACGACAACACATGCGCGCGCGCACGCCTCCCCCTCCCCCCGCCTCATCGCACACGGCCCGACGCGCGCCTCTCCCAGCTGCGGCACCTCGCCCCCTCGGTCCGACTGTTCGTGATCATATACCGGGAGCACGTGCGGCGCGTCAGGCTGCGCCAGCGCCCAGACGGCACGGTGGGCGGACGCGCCGGCTCGTGGCTTTCCTCGCACGCCCCCGGCTTGCGGCGCCCTGCAGCCCGCCGCACGCTTTGGCTGCAGCTACCCGACAAGCGGTGCCGGGGGAGGGATGGGGTGGGGGAGGTGGCCCTCGTGCGTGGCTCGGGAGCCTGCCGTTTGCTGCCTTTGGGTCAGATGGCCTGCGCCTGCGGGAAATGTCGACGCTCACGACCTGACGGAGTCGATTCTAGCCCCGCTCAGCGCGCCTCTCCCTCATCACACCCCCATCCT